GTGGTGGGTCTGAACGCTGATGTTACGTTGAAGGTACTGACTTCGGATCTTCATCCAGGGTGGAATGTGTAGTGGTAGAAGCAATAGAGATCGTCGGGGAAGCATGCTCCATAGGGCTATTGAGCCGGTTGGTGAGCATTCACAAACTCCCATTCCAGCTAACGTCCCCATGTTCTGATGAATTTCGAACAGAATATTCATTCGCCAATTCGACCCCTTCGTTCGTTCTAGTCGGCACTAATATTCGTTTCAACTGTGAGTATTGGCGATGACTTCCGCGTTCTAATGTCAAGTTGCATTATGGTGTGTCGATGAAGCCCAGCAAACGCTCACCATCAGCGAATTCCTGTTACCTAAAGGTTCTCAATCGTGCTTAAGAAGCCGTATATCCGCGCTGTGACCCGCCAACCACATAGACATGAACTTAGATGTGAGTCCGCCGGAAATCGAAGCCTCTGTTAGTCCGTCCTTGCTTACGGCCACCTCCAAGATCTGATTTATCGACCACTTAACCATTGCCCTGTACTGTTTGGAGTTGTATTGGGGCCTTTCACGTCAATTCAGTGCTCATCTGTGCATGCGATTAAGATCCCTCTTTCGTTGTTGCTTAGTGACGTGAACTGAAAAACATCACTTTTTGTGGTCGGTTGCTAAAATTTTTCGCGGGGTCGATTCTCCCTGGCTCTTGAATGGAAGCTCCCGAGATTCCGGTAGACCTCGCGGAATGTTGGTTTCCTTAGGAGTCTCGGGTCCCAGGTTAGGCGAGTGGTGACAGGCCAACGTAACTCAATTCATAAAAAACTGAATTTCGAAACTCCTTCCAGGTCTCCAATACAGTCATTCCCACAGATATAACGGAGGGTAGGGCGAGGTCGAAGGTCATCCTTTGTGCCCTCCTTTATTTCCACAGTACATCCGATCGACAATGGCCGACGCAACACCTCTCGACGATACGTCAGTAATCTTCCTGCGGCTTGCATGATACAGGACACTCACCTTGCGCTAGTTTCGGATGGCTGTACATTGGGACAGTGCTGGCCATGGCTCTCTGGGGGGTTACGGTTGTGCAAACATGGTGGTATTATGATAATTACCCGAAGGATAATCAGTGGCTCAAGATGACGGTGAGGCTAATTCATTTCGTGCGGCTCAAAGACCGGATAGACTTATTTCCGCACTGTACAGGTCGCCGCAACATTCGCTTGCGACACCATCCACCAGGCCTTGATCACCTACGCCAGTGCGTCTCTTCCTCCGTGGCCGCTCTGAGGCGAAACTGATCCCGATATATCCAGTCTACATCTACACGATACGAAACTTCGGCGATACCGTTTTCGCTGTCTCGGTGGATTGGTTCGATTTCATGCTAAAGAGAATACTCCACGGGTGTTAACGACGATTACAGGAGTCTCTACGTCGAAATCTTGTTCAACGCCTTCACTGCCTTTATTGTGCAATCCTTCTTCACTTATCGGATCTGGACTCGTACGCCGCCTTCCTCATCATTGTGATCACGAGATGCTGACCGTACACTAACAGTCCGGAAGAACATTCCAATTACTGGCTTCGTCGTGAGTTCTAGTCGAGCAAAGAACCCTGTAGAATCTGGCAGCTGATTTGGTCGCAGTACCTTCTCGTGCTTGCCAACTTAGGTGGGTGGTACTACAGTGAAGACACTGGAGTATTGTAACTCATTGCCATCATTCAGGAAGTACCGTTGCTTTTGTCGCACAAGGAATGGATCAGCAGTTGGATACCTTTGCAAAGTTCGTCGAGCTGAAGTCACTCTCGATGGTTTGTTTCCCTCTCTCCTGTGTTCGTGTCGACGTATCTGATTGAGAACTGGTGCATGTAGACGGTCAACAGTAAGCTACTCCCGCTTCACAATCTGCTGAGTGCTCCCATTGACACTGGATGTCAGTCACGGCTGTGGTTGCAGATCTTGCAATTGCTGCGGCGGTACGTTCTATCGTTTGTTCATTCCGTTTGTCTTTCATCTCATTCTCGTCGCATTCCCGCCTCGGATAGATGGTTACCTTCCTGAGTCTTTCAAAGACGGGTTTCTCGTGGAGTAACAACATCATCAATCGTCTGGTGAGCTCCTTTTGGAAGCCGTCTTATTGAGACCTCTGACCCCCTTGTAGATGCTCTTCTCGATCAACACGGGAATTCTGACAGCAGCCTGCGCTTGTTGCTCACTGATTTTCGTAAGTCTGAGAGCATCCCGCGGTCCCGTCCTTTGAACACGAATTCTAAACTCCTTTTACAACCCACGTACCTAGATTCTGGCACTCCCTAACACCCTTGTATATTTCGGTTTCTACCTGACGAGTACGTTGACTTCCGTCTCCTGTTTCATGAACAGAACGCTCATTGCTTGTTTCTCTCACCCCTGCAGTCGGTCGTCGTAAGTGTCGCTCCACACATCCTATCTCACCGGCTTGATTACTCAAAACCTCCGATCAATTCCACAGTATACACCAACTCTCTTCTTGCGACTCTCAACGCTCGTGCATTCATCCGGGGTACCGTTCGCGGAAGGTCCGACCCAAGTCAATACGACACGACATCGAACCTTCAACTCCAAGATCGCACCACCAAAGGTGCTCGAGGACAAAACTCCGTCCAGGGGATCACAGTTCAGATTGAGACCATCAAAAACTACTCTGGCGACGAGGAGCTGGGACAAAGTCATCACAACTCTGATTCGAAAGAGCCTCAGGTGATATAAAACCAGCTTGGAATGTGGGGAGTGGGTTGTTAGAGCCGTGTAAGTAGGAAAACCGATATGTAGAACGACCACCACCGCGCGCAACACACACACCACTTGCGTGTCAGTTGTGACCGGTCCATACCCACTTCTTTTTTATTTTTTGTGTTATACTGGGCCCCGGTGTGGCGAATCATGTTTTCAAAAATTGACATTCGTTTGAGTTTTGCGTTCGTTATACTTTCTGTCTGCTTCTCTTCTGAACGAGGATCCCAAGTAGTAGCCTAAACATAACCTCCGGCCTTACCGTTCATCAGAAGGACAACGGTCTGATGCGCAAGGCTCGGAGTGTAAGTAAGTTCTGAACATACTCTCTTTAAATGTGAGCGGGCTTCTTCGAATCACGGTCCTAAACTCCGTCTACTTGATCACTCAAGACACTACGATATATATGTACAGGGAACGGAGCGCTCCAAAGTTGAATGGAAAAACGGCAAGAGTCCTTGAATAAGGACGGATAGCAATTGCAGTAGTATACTTGTCCTCACGCGAAACCACGAAATAGTCGGATAAGTCGGTCAGGTCCGCCCGAGGGCCATGGAGGACCTTGGATGTTCAAACTTCAGAAAGTCTCAGGCAAGGGACGCGCTGAGTGCTGAGCCTCAGGGCACCTAGGTACGCCGCACATCCGCTATTTCTTTGGTCGGAAGCGAAGTTCATGTCAAGAACGCTGTCAACTCTCAAGTTAAGTTTCAGTCTAAATCTAAAGACCTAAAATGTTACTCCTCCCAAATCTAATAGATCTTTTCTGTACTAGGAAGGTATGTATAGCTGCTATACACTCTGAGGGTTCGGGAGTCGGCAGCAACAACCCGCGTCCCTGCACCGGGGTCCGTGGCCTGGGAATTGAGAACTGAGAAATGGGCACGAATAACAGTTCCCAGTTTCCCATCTTCTGTAGACCCTTGATTTCTGATTGTTTGCACAATATTATTATATGTAAATACATATTCTCTGGAGGTTTCTGTGAGATGTTGATCCCCTTCGTCCCTATGTGAGGTTTGTAGGTAGGGCCAAGCGTTGCGCCACCGCACACGACAACATTGGGATACCTGAGAGAAAAAAAGGTCCACTGTGAGTCATACGGACCAGGACTCCTCCGACTCTGGAAACCAGTGGACTACGGTTGCCGGTGATTCAGTCCCCGAGAAGTTAGAACAGCATGATCGGAAGTAACCTGATTGAATGCTCGGAGTCGGAGACCTACGCGCTAAACGTAGCCTGCAGTTGTGGCCAATAGGGGCCAGCTTTGGCTCCCTTGTGCTCGAGTTGGCGAAGATATAAATAGTGGAGATGACGGGGTAGGGTCTCGAGGAGCTGGCGTCGCCAGGCTAACGATCCGAGTGAGCGAGTGAGCAAGATCTACGCGAACTTCGATTCTCGAATGACGGTTAAACGAACCTGGTTTTCTGTTACCTCAGGATGAATGTTTAACACAGTCGTCCATGTGAGTTCTGGGGTCTCGGCTGTCGGTAATCTGTTAGATGAGCTCGTAAGGTTCTCTGTACATTATGCATACGCTGCTCCTTATGTTGGAAGGAGCCGTTCCTCGAGTTAACCTCAATGTGGTAGCACCGACCGCTGACAATTGGAACACCGAGGCAACTTGGACCTCAAGGCCACGGGCAGCGTTGGTACGGACGGAATATAGGGTGGAACTCTATGGTATCACACCACCAGGTTCGACATAGGCTCCTCGGGAAATCGGAAAGGTTCTTCGAACAGTCGATCGCTACAAGGAGTTACCAAAACTCCAGAGCGGGGTACTCGGAAATGCCGATCCTCACGTGCAGCGTGATGGACCGTGGAGAACTGGTCCCAGTTCAACGGGTGTTTTCAAAAGAGCGAGTCGAGGGTGCGAAGGGGTGCAAAAGTTACCAGTGTATATGTAACGTTCCATTCAGTGTCACTGTGTCACCAAGATTTGGAAGATGTCATTACGTTCATACTTTCGCCGGCATCCCCGTATCGCCGTTGCCAATGCTTGGGAGGGAGGCTGGAGCCCTCTCAGCCCTTCCCACATACGACAGCCGAGACCGCACTTCCCACTGTATCCGGTGTTGCCTTGGATTTAGATAGGGGTATGAGGTATGGAGGCGATCGTCAAGTATTAGAGAGGGAGAGAGGTAGAAGTCACTAGAAGTGCAAGAGGTTGGAGTAGACTCCTTACCCAGTCCCGCCGAGGGAGCGCTTGATAATTACTTGAGAAGAAAAAAGGAAGAAAAAACGGAGGTCTAACCAGGATTCGAACCTGGGTTAATGGAAGAGGACATGCTCTATACGGCATTATCAAAATCCACTGTGATAACCACTACACTATTAAACCGATGAACAGCACAGGTATATACGTCATTATATCATTATATCACTCAATCTGCGATGCCGTAGCCCAGGCCGTTCCAGTCTGCCAAGCTGTTCGTATGCACGGTAGTAACACTAACGATTCACATAAATCCATTACGGGCCTCTCACTACATGCGCTGATCGGAACCCAATCGACGAACCTGTCCGTCGAGCTAGTAATGCGATGATCCAATGTCTATGTTTCCAGCTACTTACAGATGTCATCGGTCTCTGCACATGCATCATTTCAAACTCCTTCCGTTACGACTCTCATCGGTGGGTTCGATGATCAGGCCTCGGCTTATGGGTGTTTTAATTCATGCTGCCAGCTTCGGACTGACCAGGGGTCAAGTACATGGACTACTACCGTTGAGGTATCTACCCAAAATCGGTCATGTTGCCACGGTTACGGTTGCCGAGCAGGCTCAGGCCGACCTCAGGCTGGAGGCCGTCCCAAGCTATAGTAATCTGCTGATAGTCAATCTTGGGAAGGTTAATTGACGAAACTTCCGATCAGGGGAGATGTTCTGGGGGGAAGGGATGGTGCCAGACAGACACCCCAAACCAGCAGGAAACTTCACTATCCCTCTGGCAAGGACAAGGCAAGTTCAGACAAGTAAAATTAGCTCAAAATTCGTTGGAAAAACATGGAGAAAACATACGAACAATGACAAGTCCGAATCAGGAAGGTCTGGCATTTCATCGGAGTTAACGTGCTACAGGAAAGGTAAATTGACAAGGTAAACATTTTTTCGTCAGCTCTCCACGACCTTGGTGATCCTCTGGCGGTACGAGATCAAGAATCCTACACTGACAAGATAGGCTGAAGTCCGCTGGAAAATCGAGAAAAACGGTGAGTTTCTGCTGTGCGACGGGCGGGCTATGATGCGTTTCACGTTTCAGGCTGTCGGGATACACACTTATTTCGCCACATTCGGTTGTCGGGCAAAAGCCCAGAGGAATCAGGCAACCGTCAGGAAGCAAAACTATCTATATTGGAAAATGTGAGCTTGAGTTAATTTGACTTAGTTCCACGTTGAGGCCGATTGACTCCCATAGAAAGCGGATTATGGTAGCAAAACATTCCAGAGGTGGGCCAGAACATTTTGACACACCTCAAAATCAATAAAAGTGGCTGAAGAGAGGATAACATGCCGCCAGAGACCCAGCGTACAGCGGCCTAGGGGTCTCCGACTCGCAATAAAAATGTGTCGATTACGGCAGCATATACTTCTGAACCCTATACTCGTGGCGAATCTCTATTTGGCTCCCTTGCCTGGCTCTTTGGTCAACCAGGTCGGCCTGAGCCTGCTCGGCAACCGTACACGGTAGAGGCGGGAGAAGGACCCTTGGTTGCTGTCTCCCGTAACCTAAAGATCGAGGTACGCGAGCTATTGGCAAAATGAGACGGTAGCGAGGAGTGAGAGCATATGTATAATGTGAGATCCTCACAGCATGGCTTCATTGTGATTCGGAGCCGGCGTCATGGCAGATGCCAGGATGATCACCTTGCTTGTCAAGGTCCTTCGTATGTGATAATTCACCCGTCGGGACTTACATCGTACACACAACCAAACAAGTGATCCGACGGAACTACTTTCCGGCCCGGAATACCCTCGTCAGAATTACCTTGCAACTTCGGATTCCCTTCGGAGTCCAGACCGAGTCCAGACTTCAGCTTCAGTGTCCCCTCGCATTTGCGGCTCAAATCAAGGCTCATGAGCACCTCTTGCCTGCCCCATCCAGAAATTTTTGGATAGATTGGTGTGCTCAATACCGGGTTTCAACCGGGTACGTGCCAGCGGCGGCCAATGGCCCAATACTACATCATTTCTCTGACGGAGTTATCACAGTTTCTGTGTAAACTTACCACTTGTATCCACTACGCAGAAGTTTCAATGGATCTTTGTCTCCATAATAGCTTATCCTACCTTCGCTTTCACGCCCAACTGCTCCGACTCGACAACGGCAACGTTTGAACCGTTCATATCCTCTGGCTCTGTGATTAGCTCTGATGTCTAACGTTCAACTCTCACAGATTACAACAGTGATTGTACGAATCTCCAAGACAAGCAAGGTGTGCCGCCGCTGCAAGCGGCACTTCCCGAGTTAGGAAAGGACCTTAAAACCTAGAGCTTATACACTCGTCGGCCAGTCGATCGGGCCAGGACATGAATGCATAAGGCTTCACGGAACGAGTCGAGAACCATGGATATGTTCTGCGATCATCGGGAATTGAATAAGTGCTAGAAACAGGCTGGTAACTCGCAGGGTTGAGAGCTTGAGCGAGCTACTTACTATTTCCTGAAACAATTCGCAGGGTACGGACGGGCGGGCCGATTATGATTTGTTGATCGCCCTTGCATAGCATGCCCGCCTAGCTCAATCGGATAGAGCGTCAGACTTTTAAGGAAGGGCATCTGAAGGCTGCGAGTTCGACCCTCGCGGTGGGCTATTGTTTGAGTGGCTTCCAGACGTTTTGCAGCACGTCAATAATTTTTATGCCTGGGACTTCCTGGGGATCTCGTTCGGGGCCCGGATATTGCGTTGTCGGCCGGTCGGAGGTCCACTGGTGTTGTCTTCACGCCTACACAGCCACTCGCCAAGTTGAACCTCCACGACCAATGACCATGACGACTGGCTGGTGAGTTACAACAACTATCACTGCCATTTTCTATCTCCTTAGTATACTTCGCAAAAAGCAAGCCATTCGTGAAAACTCGACTCTCTGCTCGGCCTTGTCATTATGGTTTCTTCCCTCCACCAACGCTACGATTGCCCATCTTCGGACATGCTCCATCGCCCCGAGACAATATCTGCTTATAAGAATCGACTACCGCGACAGTGACCGGTAGACTGCCGTTGAGGGTTTTGAAGAGGCTCTCAGGTCTTACTGTGTTGAAAGCGGCGGTTGGATGTCGAGCAGCATCACTGTTCGCGATATCGGCTTGCTCGTCTGCTGCAGAAGAGGATGCCTTTTGGATGTTGCTCACGCTGGATTAGAAGGGTGTTCTTTGTTGTGTGGTCTTGGCTCGTCGATCAACGTCAATGTCAGAACGCTCTCCTGCACTCCTTTTGGCACGCCTAGCTGTTCACCTTGGACCCTGGGGGAAATTTTATGGAGCTCATTCGAGTTGTTATGGATGGAGTTAAGCTTATGGTTGGATTTTCTTGGTGAAGACATGCTGTGAGTTTTATGTCTTATCGCCTCTCTTGTATACCGCCCCATTCCTATTCCCCATTTCTGTCTTGTACCCTGCCGTTTGTTGTTTGCTTACAAGTGTAGTGTTTTCCCAGTTAGCCCAATCGCTGATTGTCACAACCAACTACCGAAACGTCTTTGACTTGAAGAAAATCTCTCAGCCTAGCGTGCCCAACGCTCCAGTACATCGACCTACGATCCTCAGAAATTTCTCCATCGTTACATCAAACTACTAGCCCATCGGTCTTAACTTGTACATTAGCGGCAGCAGGGAGAGGCTTTGCCTCACTCACGTACATGGGTACGATTATGTTCTGCAACACCCCTCTAATCTCTTCCTCTACTCCGCATCTTACACCGAGGCTCGTCGCGGCGGCACGAGACACGACCACCCTCGGGCTTGATTCTTCTCATTGCGAGAGAGCCTGACACCCCCAGATTCGCCTCGCAGGGATTACATTCGTCTGAGCATAGGGTCTCAGCGTCGACTCTCCTACCGAACCCCTCCGCGGATCCAGTTGCCACTGGCACCATCGATACCGAGAATTTTCGAACCGATCTCGGCGTCGTTGAAGAACACGCTGGCGAGCCAGTGTATGTCTCGCTGGGTATATTCTAGGAGACGGATACTCTTGGAGAAGTCGTGCGGTAGCTCCAGAGGAATGGTGATGAATCGGAAAACGGGGTGCAGTCTACAGGACCTCCGTGTTCTCGCGATGTCGCGGCTTTCGGACTAGCGATATACCTGGCGATGGGGTAGACACCTGTTTGGGTTTTCTCCTCTTTTCTGAGCCCTACGTCTTCGTATAGTGAGTTTTGTTCTCCCCTGTTCGTATTTTCGCTCTTCTCTGTCTTTGTTATGGCTCCCCTTCGCTTATCTTCATGATTTGCTGTCTCGCTCACTACTCATTTTGATCCTTCAGGTGACCCCGCAAGCACGAAATCGGATTTCAGTCACAGTGCTCGAATTTCGATAGGCTCGGTCGGCGCCCTTGAACTATCTCTCCATACCGTCGACATCGAATCGTCTCTGATGGCGACCATAGTCACTTGGAATCGGAGCAACGGGAATTTTGGACGGATTGTTAGTAGCTTCTCATCGAGCGGATTCGATGTTGAACCATGCTACCCTGTCGGACTGATCGAGTCGATTCGAGGGGATTGACGACGATGGTTGCGAACTGTCGACCTACCCAGTGTATTGAGAGGAGGCCCAAACGATCTGGCAACGTTGTGCACGGAGTTTCAGGACCTCGGAAGGGGGGTGAAGAGGACGGATGCGTATAGTGAGTAAATCCGTTGTATATTTTGCGCTCCCTTTCCTTCCCCCCCCCTCGTCACCTCTTCATTCCTTCTGTCTGGGTCGCCTCGGAGACGTGTAGTTATCTTTGCTCTATCCTCGACTTTATGTCCTTTGTTTTGTTTCCTATCGCGGTTCACTGAATGAGTTTGCTCCTCCAGGTGGCCTTACAACCGCCAGAGTCCACAGTCACAGGCTACCATCTCCACCTATTCGAGCACGAAAACCACTTGGGCTTCTTACTTCCATCTTCCCTGATGCCATAAACGTCGGTTGTGAGGTCCCTCGGCGGAACGGAATAACACAGTTCGCCTTCCCTGAAATGTGCCTTCAGGTGACATCGAATCAAGGCTTGCGCCTCCCAGATAGCTCAAAGCAGCGAACGTGAGTCGGTTCGGTTCTCAAATTCACCGAATCGTGGATACTAACTGCGCTTGCCTTCGCCTCCTGAAACCTGTGGTAGTAAATCCTACACATCGAAAGAGGCAGTTCAACGTTCAAAACTCAAGGTTGGCTGAATCGCATTTGAGCAGAGCGGAGCCTTTTCGTGACATGTCATATGCTCATTGTGGAGATAGTAGACTAAGATCACAGACGTCCAGAAATGTTTTTGTACAGATGATAGTTTCGAGTCCCAGCTATCTATCGTTATCTTTCACTTGATCTGACGTATTCTTATATTTACAAGATACTGTGGCTAGACGGATGAGAGCCTCTCGCTATTACGGCGGGATGATACCTGAGGCTGAGCTGAGGTTGACCGAGCTATGGGACGGGACGCGTTTGTTGCACGTGCTGTGAACATACCGGTAACCGGTCCCCGGAAATTTCGGATCACGTTTAATTTTTGACTTGCTTCTGCTCAGCGCTCAGTGCTCTGCTCAGTACCACGATCATCGCAAATGCCGAACCATCAAGAAACAGTTCAGTCGCGTCGTCTCATTGAGGTCCCTATCAAGCAAGGTTTTCTGATATCATTCTCTAGGATCCAACCATGCCTGTTTACCCCCAGAGCATCAAGGGCTTTCTCAAGCGAGTCGCAGAGGGACCGCTCATTACACTCACACCCAGTGAAGCTGGGATGCGCAAGATTTTGCAAAGCAAAGCACCCTCATCACACTCTTCGACTTCCGCACTAGAGCATCGGGATGTCTTTGGGCTCATTTTCTTTCTGGTGAGATCGGTCATCCTCAAGACCGGCCAGCACCAATTATTCCTCAAATCCTTTCGTTGGATGGCTGATTGGATGGCTTTTTTCATCCAATCGGGAGTCACCAAAACCGAACCTATGACACCAGATGAATCTACATTCCGAGGCGAAGTCATCTGTTTATCCTCTGCGATCCTCACTACGATCCTCCCGTTCAACGCGAGCAGCGTCAGTCCCATAAAAACGACACCACGGTTTTTACCCGTTATGGTGGATCTCACGTTTCACCTCGTTGAAGTTTTGGATCCGCAATTCGAGATTATTTGGTCTCAAGTTACGAAGTTGATGTCTGATCGCATATCAGTCATGCAATTCCACACTGCGGTCTCGCTTGACCTCCAGAATGTGTATAACATCCCACTCATCTCGACGAGGCTCATCCAAAAACTTACGACGGATCCAGAGATTGACGTTTACGCGGTAGATTCCTCTGTGACCATCGCACTCTACTGCATTACTTTTGGGAAGATCGTACATCCTTTCCTGGCGAAGCGTATCGTTAAACGGATCGCAGACGTTTTGGAATACGTGGCTTCTAAAGCGGAATCGATTTCTCGAGAGGATACCCAAGTAGCCGTGAACTGCGTAGGATTTTGCTGCAACGTACTCAAACGCTGCTTCGAGGATGGGTTCACCTGGGTCTGTGAGGGGCTTGATGGTGGTATCATTACTTCCATCATAAACATCTTCCTGTCGAAGCTTCCGAAGGCGATTGGGCGGGAAGAATTTGCGTCGATGAAGAAATCGTGCACTGAAGTCCTTCTGGCGATCAAACCGTATCTCATCTTCCGATCGGTACTGAACAGGGTCGTTCGAAATGGGAAGAAGCTTCAGGCTCAGAGGGGACTCTTCAGAAAGCTGAAGGCCGTGTCTTCAGAGTTCGAGGGGTCTGTTCGTGTGTTTTTCGATCACGCAGTGGCTTTGAAGAGACCGATGTATCTATTCGACGATATCAGTGCTTCGAATACCTGTGTAAACACAACGGTTCGTTTCCCGCGATTTTTTTCTTCGATCAAGGGTGGTATGACGTTCTAATCGTCTTTCATTGATGTGACAGTGCCCAAAACACAATGGCCCGCCCACCAGGCTCAATGAGAAGAAGCTAAAGCTCAAGCTTTGCTCTTCATGCAGAGTGGCAACGTACTGCTCGAAAAAATGTCAGATCGTGGATTGGGAAGCGATCCATCGACGAGAGTGTTGCACAGATCGTCCTTCTGATGCCGGTCAGTAACTTTCTGTTTCTCGCGTACTTCTATTGGCGTTGAGGATGTACTGCGCTCTTTTAGGCCATTCGTTCCGCCCGTCTGCTCTCGATGCTGCTTACATGGCCTTTCTCGGTGACGACGAATGTGCACCTCAACGACAATTCAAGCAACTTGCGAGGTCAAGTCCAGTGGAGCGGGCTTCGAAGGTCGTACAACTGGATTTTCGACAGTGGCCAATGGATGCCTCGATTGTTGAGTATGAATCCTTGCTTCGCTCTGTATCTTCAAGTGCAGACGCGAAGGAGTTGATGGACAACAAAACACTATTGGATCCGACGAAGGAGACAATTTTTCATATTTTATTTCCTGGGAAAGAGGATCGTTCGAGGCTCACCATGAAGAGGGGAATCGGACATTGGGTCAGTTGATAGAGGTCATTAATTCGGTGTATGCCTTGACTCAAAAAACTAATGCGATATGATCCGCGCGTAGAGACTTTGTGCAGACTCCTCTTGTAGTTCTAAGTGTAGACTCTATATCGATGCTGATGAGTCACAGCTTGGAAAAGAAAAAACCGGACACGGCATATGCATAGCCCACCGCGAGGGTCGAACTCGCAGCCTTCAGATCACCCGCTTTAAGAGTCTGACGCTCTATCCGATTGAGCTAGGCGGGCGTTAAAATTAAGACTTGCGATACCACGATATGGTTCATGTATGCAATCCGCCTGGATGTCACACATCCGACAACGAAAAGGACTAATCGAGTATGTACAAATCAGTCGATATTCAGACTACAGTAGCCAGTACGTTTACCTAGACAGTTCAAGCGTTCTCCGACTATTCCTCCAAGTCTAAATCGTCGCACAAGACGAGGTTTTGCCCACCCCATTCAACATCTTCAATCACTCCTCTTTCAACCACGTCCTCGATGGTCAGATACAAGGGAGTGGTTCCCAAGTCCGATCTCTTGAAATTCAAGAACCGAAGATCAGGCTTAACATATCCAGGCAAGACGCCCGGCCGTCCAAAAATAAACCCATCCCTCTTCATGCCACACGTCCCGTCAAGCCTGACTACCTTCAACTTGGGGCAGTACCGCGCCAGTATATGCAAAACCCGGAGGTTAAGGAACTTCTTTTTCGTCCCCTTGTCCTCCGTAGGGGCGGGAATCGGTCTCAACTCTCCATCCTCTTCCCCTCCCAACGAGCGACCGATAGTAAAGGTCGCCAACTCGGGCCACTGCGAGACCAACTTCGCAGTGTCCTGGTTGTCCAGTGAAACCTCCCCCAAAGTGCGTTGTGCGAGTAAGAGGACAAAGGTTTTGAGGTCCGTCAACCGCGAGAGGTAGGAAAGATGCTCCACCGTCAGGATGAACGGTTTGCGTAGTTTCTCGGTACTGCGAGAGGTTGCGCTGAGCTCCGCGGTACGGTAGTCCAGTCGGACGTCTAGAGAACGGAGGTTCGGGAAAGCTGCCACAATTCCCTGGAACAGCTTTGCGAGCTGGGGAGCGATGGGAGTGGGTTCCGAAGAGGGGTCGGGGTCGGGGTCGGGAAGTGCAATGATTAACAGTAAGCCTCTCATGCTTATGCCTTGCCCTGAGCGGGATAGCACCGAGGTGAATTCGATGGCCTCTGAAGCCTGGAGAGCCAGACCAAGCGAACGAAGAGCCGGAAAGGTTTCGACGAGACGATGGGGTGATTGAAAGGTTGTGCAGTCGACGAGGCACGTGTACGTGAGGTTCTGGAGGTGCTGAATGTTGTTGAATATAACATTCCCGCAGATGAACCCGTTGAGTGATAGTTTCGTGGTCGTTGGTGGCAACGAGCTGAACAGCGACGAGAACTCAGCGGCGAGAGATGCCTCCAAATTTGGGAAGTAAAAAGATACGTCCGTTAGTCGAGGCATTTGCGCTACCGCTTTGGCGATATAGTTGGTCAGAAACACACTACAAACTTCGTGTCTGATAAAGCCGTCAGACTCTTCGTGGAAGCCAAATTTAGTGACGGTGGGTGACAAGAGGTGATATGCAACGAAAAGTAAAGTGAAGGCCAACTCCGTCCGTGCCGTCTTTGTATAAACTTGATTGATCGTCATCGAGATGAGGTTTGGGAGAATTGGGTCTGATGAGGAATTTCGGTAGGTGGCCAAGATAGTGTATAGTTTGTCGCACTCCGCTATGGTGATATTGGACGACGGCTCAATTATCAAGTGGCGGATCCGAGGGGCATATGTAAACGTAAAGTAGTCCCAGTCTGCCTTCGTAGGCTTGTACGCAAAATCCTACTGGCTATGAGCTCATAGGTCTCCGAAAGATCCGATGTGAAAGTATTGCTTACCGAGCCCCGACACAAGGCCACGAGAATGCTCCTCATGTCGTCTACTGTCCGCCAGGAGACGGAGAGGTAAATGTCAAACCACAAGCGCGAGGCTAGCGCCATGCTCTTTAGCGTCTTCCTCGACTTGCATTGCTCGAAGATGTTGATGATGATTTCGGTGGGAAGGTATGGAAGGGCGACTGGAGGGCTCATTTCTGAAGTATGAGGGGTCAGTTGTTTGAATTGACAACGGTAACTCGTCCTTTATATCAAAGGCACGAGCCATGCTTTGACCTTTGTGCGTTCCCGTTTCGCCTTTTGTGTAATAATGGGCATTGGAAAGTCATTGTTCTCAGTGCCACAATGTGATCGATCAATTGTGACATCGCTAGCCTTTGACTTGTGATGACCAGGCCACATCGCAGAGCGGGAAGGCGAGATTGACGTTAGGTATATTCCAGAAGGAGGTACAACGCGGTCAAAGTCAGCGAGGAAGGCTTCTCTGCTTGGACAATGTCTACGCCGAAGCTGAGCCGCAGATAAAGTAAAGTGAGTCTGACGGCCGGTCGTTGAAGCTAGTGCACTCCTATCTCAGCAGATTCCACAGCGGTCACGACGTTTTAGCAGCTACCTCAAATATCATTGACGTCTTTGCAGCTCGCGCAAGGTCGCTACCTTCAATGGCATCCCTCTCTTGATTGCGCATATAGCATGGTGTACCGCACCTCAGGCATCCCACAGGTATGTATTCCGCTCGAGCAACACCGTGACCTCCAGCTGGTGGAGGTCGTACAGGTACCCCTTCAGGGTAAGACCCCGGCCCAAAGGGTTTAAACGTTCATGTGTGACCAGTTATATTCACAGAGAGGATAATTGGTCCGCAGTGAGGCGAACCCAGCCTCTGATATAAATTGAATGCAAAAAGGCTGACAGGCGCTATTGCGATTAGACAAAGGACGATTCGGGAATTGCGCGGAACTCAGAAGAGTCGGATACGTCTGATATGGAAACCTTGAGCGCGTTCAGGAGAGGTGAGAGCGTAATAAACGTGGAGTCGTACGGCCTGTATCTTCTACCAAGGTCAGACCGACTCGTGTGATGCCGAAGAGAACCCGATGGTTGATTGGTTGGCCTAGACGGGATGAGAGCAACTTGTTGGCGTACCAAAGACTCAGATTATCCTCGTCGATTCACCTCGTAATTCGATTCATGGCTCTAAGTCTCTGTATCCCAATTGTATCCAATCCCCGAGAGATGCATGAAAACTCTCCCGCCTTGTACCGTTGCAGTTTGGCGCCAGAAGCGAGCGATTTCCAGCAAGACTAGATATCCCATGATTGCAATGACAACGGGTTCGATCTATCAGGGATCCTCAGTGGTATTTCAAATTTTCAGCATCACCATAACCCGTCGTGCGGTGCACCGTGCCAGACCCCAGCGAAATGGCACAGATGACCAAGGTCATCAACTGCGATGAAGAGATCAATAAAACGGATGATTCATACCCGTTTTCGGTAAAAAGGACATACCCTTGGGTTAACCCACCTTATTCAAGGCTTTTGTCTCGTAGGTTGTGGGAGGTTGTGGGTGTAACTGAGACAACGGTATTTCTCGGACGGGAATCGGATGGCAAAATGCTGTGCTCGACGCTCACGTGTCGAAAATGACAGGTTCCATCTCGCCCTCCCCGCTTGGGTGTCAAGCTTTATTATTCGGCCGTAGAAGAATCGGTAAGTTGAGCGTACTACGTTGAAATCGAAATGGACAATCTTTTTCTTTTTTCCTCCCATCGCCGGTGCAATCATATTGTTGAAGATTATCAAAAATGTGTATGCCCCATGGCTGAGTTGGTTACAGCGTCCGACTGTTAGGACATCGCAAGCAATCGGAAGGTCGTGAGTTCGAGCCTCACTGGGGCAGTGCTGTTTTTGTTCCTTCCCACCATCATCATCCTCAAACGTCGCTTCCCGTTACTTATTGATGATCTCTCGGTCTCCAAGGGCCCTGAGAAGAGAAATCATGCAGTGTACGTACCATTGCTTTATAGCTAACGTTCTCTATCACTCCTCGATGATCAATGCCCACCAACAGCTTCACAGAGCTCTCCAGTGTTGACTCTTCTTTCTCCAGCTCGACTCGGACCACAATTCCAGGGATAGGATATCTCTCTGGCAAAGCCATTCAACGACTGGGAGAGGTCATTCTGAATCGGGCTGATGTCGTCCTGGTCAATCGCCGGCTCCGTCGAATCGAAGCTTCAATCGCGACCAATAATGGTTGGCGCAAACCCACTCCATCTGAAGACGTTGTAAATATGTGCGAGTTACTTCTAGAGCTGCTACAGTAAGTCGATTGGCCTGCCAATCTCGTCCTGCACATCCAATCGACTCACACCTTCCTTGGCACTCGCAGCCCTGGTTATCCCTTTTCAATACGGACGCGAACTATGCGCATCGTTATGGCTCTGATCAGCTCAATGAACTTTGCTGGTCTTGCCACAGCTCTGGTTTCGCTCAAGTCGACGGCAATGATACAGAATCATCTCTGCGAGGTCCTCGATTGTCTCTGGGATTCAAAGTCATCTAAAAGGCAAGCAATTGCTGTTCATCAAATCGGAGCTGTGACTACCCTACTGATCTTAGACCCGGCGATTATCATTTTATTATTGACAGCGCGTTCAGGCGAGAAGCTACTGCGGATGCAGTCACGAGAAAGAAGATTACAGCCCTCCGGACCGCCGGTCACGAAGCTTATGTTTCATCCTTCCCACAACTTGGGCACACTACCTCTACCCTACTCCTGTCATCGCCGTTTATACTCTATCTCGCTCTCATCGCCATACTTGGGCATAGGAAGCACACCTGCGTGATACTATCAGATTCACTGGGCATCGTCCAGTTCCTTCGATCCGTAGGGCTCTTCGAATCCAACGATCAAGGCAGCGCTGGCATCATGGCCAGTCAGCTGCTCATGCGAGTTTTTGAAGCTAGGCTCCATTGCAACCTGGATGCGGATCTGAAAGTACTGGTTGCGAAGGTGATATCCGACATTCCCTACACCACTAATACTGGGGACTCAGATGCGGGGTATATGTGGTCCCAATTGAAGCGAGGCTTCATCGACACACCCTCAGAGTACCTGTTGATGGAGGCATTGTCTCTCATTCTGGAAAGAATTCAGATGCCGTTCATGCATCATGGTGCCATCCTTCCACTGGACGAACCAGTAACAGTCGGGGCAGGCATCGAAAAGGTGGTTTTAACTCGCATTTGGTTTCGATTGCCTCTGACGAACTGCAACACTTTTCATATCTCTCAAAATCCTTCAGACAACAATGATCCGAAAACGACTGGTCCTCGCACATGACCGCTCACGACTCTTCGGAACGCACAGCAAGGAGGCCTATTTTCAGATGATGGAGGACTACATCGTGACCTTCTTGGCCGAGGTTATTGATTATCACCTTCCATTTCGGCGACGACCCGACTGGGCGCTATACGACCTCCACAGCATCAAATCCAACTTTCTCCAACTATTTGCAGTTTCATCTTCCAAATCCCCGTCTGAGAGGTTACTCGAACTTCACGCCTTCATCCAGAAAAACATTACGGAATTTGCCTCTTTGCGCTATAACTTATCTTTGACAGTTTTCGTAGGCATGGAATCTTCTCAGGGAGAATGTTTAGACCAGATAGGCCGCCTATTCAGAGATCTGAATCACATGGCACGTTGTGATAGTTCAGCCTACTTCGAAGTCATGGAGCAGGATATTGTCCGATGGTATACTCAGACCGCCGGTGTTTGCATCGATTTTCTCGCCAATGAATTGGAAAGAGAGATTTGGATCGAGGAATTTGAACCTGAAACAGACGCCGCGGTGTTCGTTGTGCCGTTGGCCATGGTCGAGTGCGAACAGCTCGTCTCGGGAGATGCCTCCGTTGTGAGCTCACAATGCCTATATTCTGTGCCAGTGCTTCTCACTGTTCGACGTTAGAACTGGCTGGAGAACTCCTTAGAACTATTCCGGTCGATTTGTGCTGCTCATAGGACGCCGGCGAAATCTCCAGTCAACACACTCCCGCTGGTACAAGGTCCATAATATTTCTACAGATGATGGTGGCCTGACGTTTCTCTTTTGACTCGCTTAGACGCTCGTGTTCAGCCACCAAGACCTCAGGTTCACGGATAAGCTCCAAAGCTCGCCACTCCGGGCTCCCATCTCAATCCACGGTGGGGAGCAAGATATGAGCGCAACCTACCGATACATCAAGGACCGTTTTCTTGAATGCGTCCGACCAGATCAGGACGTGTCTGTGCGTTTTATACCAGTGTCAAACCCGGGGGACGTAAATGGTAAGTCTTTCTGATTGCGGCGGGAACAAGACCTTTGATATGTACTAGATCTCTTCTTGGAGCTCGAGACGCCTAAACAGCAACATAACCCGTGACATCCTCACAAATGTTTGGTGTGGCGGTTCATTAGGTTCAAACAGGGCATCGTGGGTCATCAGTCGTCACTGTAGAACAAACCATCAAGTATCTTTCGCCCCGGAGGTTTCGGGTAAGGTTGGAGATTAGGCGCTGCAGGGAGAAGTTCTTCGACCAGTGGAACAGTACCCGTATGAGTCACTTTCGCAGTGGGTTAGTGCTCATAAATCATATAAACTTTACTAGTTATTGACACATATAATTGATAATACGCGGAACTACTTAGTGATTGCAGTCTGAGCAGCAGGCCGCGTTCTCACCTAAAAAAGAGCTTGAGAAAGTACATACTACTAGAGCGTTTTAGGGGCCGCATCAACGGCATGGGTGAGTGACTTTTATTGTTAAAGCGTCCGACGGCTTCAATTCATCACGGTGGTAACAGGTGCCAGGTACTCCCGCTATTGACTTGTTGGCACTCTGAGGCGATGAGGCCTTGTGACACCAAAGCTGTCGCTGCTTGAAATGAAAGCCTCTTTCTCTCTTTCTGTGTCAGCGAACGATTCATGAACAGCTACTCAGACCATTCCAGCCTCTACTCTTCCACATCGAGTTCAACTCGATCTACACGTCTTGGATTGGGATCTCTCTCGGGCAAAGCTATCAAAAGATTCGGAGAAACAATTCTCAATGGGGTTGACAATGCGATTGATAATGGGCGGCTCCGCCGCATCGAGGCTTCAGTCAAGAGTGATAAAGTTTGGTACGAAGAGACGCCATCTTCTGAGGCCAAGGAAATGTCCAGAACACTTCTGGAATTTTCGCAGTACGTACCTCTTGACACACTCAGCTGTAGTGTTGCGGGCTCAATCTAAGGTCAATTGCAGTCCTGGGTCTCCATTCCCAATTCGAAAGCGAGCTTTGCGAGTAATGATGAATCTGATCGGCTCCATGAAATACAACGGGCTTGCTACCATCCTTGTCAATCTCAACTCGATGTTGGATCTTCAAAGACATCTTTGCGATGTTCTCGATTGTCTTTGGGACTCCAAAACATCGAAAAAGTGCGCTCTAGTATGTCCCCTCCCATCCCGGTGATAACTGATTCTACCATTGATAGTGCGTTTAAGCGAGAAGCTGGGGAGGAAGCCTCAAGAAAGAAACTACTAGAGCTCCGCGCAGATGGATACGAATCTTATGTCGCAGCTTGTTCTCAAGCACAAACCTCCAGACTACTACTGTCGTCACCCTTCATACTCTATCTCACCCTTATTGCCGCCCTCGGCGACAGTAGACACGCCCACCTTATTCTCTCTGAAGAGTTGGATATCGTCCGATTCCTGCGTTCCATAGGACTTTTCGACAAAGACAGAACGGGCACTGGCGTCATGGCGGGAAGACTCCTGACGCAGGTGATCAGGCTCAGGCTCTGTCCTGTTGCTGATGGCCTAACGGGAGTCGTCCAAGATGCAATCTCGGAGCTTTCCTCAACCCTCGAGCCTGGTGATTTGGTGACAGATCACATGTGGGCTCAATTAGAGTGGGGTTCTGCTGATTCGCCGTCTCGGGAATTTTTGACGAACGCGGTGAAGATTGTTCAGAATGAGCTCATCCGAATGGACGGGACGCAGGCCTCGCTGAACCTTTATAGTGACAGTCATAATATGCGCGATGTTAAGGTTCTGCTCCTCGGTGAGGGCTGTAGCGGAAAGGTCACTTGAATCTCAACTACCATTCTTAACTAGTACACTGACATTACCTTCAAACCTTCCCGACATCTAGACTACCATTATGAAGCAACTGATCCTTTCACGCCACAATTCGACATCCTTCACCGCCCTCTGTGACCCTGAATATTACTTGGAAATGATGGAAGCCCGTCTCCGAGCCTTCCTGCAGAGAATCATGGATTGGTTCCTCGAAGATCAGTGCAACTCCCGGTGGGCTCGCCATGATGCCCATACCGTCGGAGCAAACTTCCATAAGCTCCCCGAGCTGGATATGAGTACACGGTCACAGAGATTGCTGGAGCTCAATGACTTTGTTCAAGTCAATATCACAAGCGCTGGGGACTTGTGCGCCGTCCTAGCGTCGACTAGCTTTGCGAAGTTGCTGGACTTTCCTTTAGATCATTATAGGTCCTTATTGGAGGCTCTAAACGATATGGCGGGCCGCTCTCGTATGCATGATGATGATACAGCTCACAAATCAGCCTCACTTGAGCCGACAAATCAAAATCTTCTTGGGTGGTACATCCAGACTACTGAAGCTCACCAAGAATCGTTCACCACTAAAGATAGCTCGTACACCTTCTGGGACTGTGGAGGTCAGATGTCCGATAGATGGGTCCAATATTTCCCTCAAACGGACATTGTGCTTTTTGTTGTCTCATTGATTGGCTACGACCAAGTGTCATTTGAGAATCATTCAGTGGTGAGCATGCAGCATCCGACTCAATCCGGATATTGACCATGCGAATCGGAAAATTCTTCTCA